CCAACCGAAATTAGTTTAAATTGTATGACTCGACCCTGGCCAATGGGGAAAGGGTACAGGGGCAGGACTTGCATCAAAAATAATGACTCTTGTGCCCCTTTGTTCAGGTGTGCTCTCATGGCAACTGGCCAAAGAGGCACCCCTCTGCACAGAAGTAAAATTGCTTTGTTAAAAATCCTTCATTCGAGTGTTCAATTTCCTTAAAATTTTAAGCGTTATTCCTAACAAGACCAACTGAATGGCTTGCAATGCCAGTTACGTTCTAGAACCAAACTGAGGTTCATTCACCCAGAGCAGTAAATCTAGATACCCACCCAGAGGTGTTTGCAGTGATAGAAAGAAAGCCATTTATTGCAGGGTCCCCAGCAAGGAGAATCAGGGCAGGTCATGCTTAAGACCCAAACTCCCCAGTGGCTACAAGCCAAGTACTGGCAAGGTAAGGATATTTTTCGTTGGTAGTGATGATGGTTTTCTTTAGACAGGGTCTTACTCTGTCCTCTGTTGCCAAGCCTAGAGTGCGGTGGCATGATCATAGTTCACTGTAGCCTCAATCTCCTGGGCTCAAGTGATCTTCTAGCCTCAGCCTCCCAAGTAGCTGGAACTAAAGGTGCCTGCCACCACACCTGGCTGATTTTTTATTTTTAGTAGAGATTAGGTCTGCTATGTTGCCCAGGCTGGTCTTGAACCCCTGGGCTCAAGCAATCCTCCCACCTTGGCCTCCCAAAGTTCTGGGATTAAAGGCATGAGCCACAACCCCTGGGGCAAGTAAGGGTTTTTAAAGTCAAGGGTAAACTTCAGGAAAGCAGAAACTACAGGCAAAATTGTAAATCAATGCATAAAGGTTACACATTGGTTTAAGGTTAAAAGGGTGAGATATCTTGAGGTGAAGGCTTACAGGTCATAGGTAGTGTATTATTCCATTCTCACACTGCTATAAAGATACTACCTGAGACTGGGTAATTTATAAACAAAAGAGGTGTAATTGACTCACAGTTCTGCATGGCTGGGGAGGCCTCAGGAAACTTACAGTCATGGCAGAAGGTAAAGGGGAAGCAGGTACCTTCTTCACAAGGTGGCAGGAGAGACAGAGAGCAAGCAAAGTGGAGTGCTACACTTTAAAACAATCAACTCTCATGAGAACTCACTCCCTGTCGTGAGAACAGCATGGGGAAAACCGCCCCCATAATCAAATCACCTCCTAACAGGTCCCTCCCTCAACACATGGGGATTACAATTCAAGATGAGATTTGGACACAGAAGCAAACCATATCAGATAGACTCAAAGATCTGATTTGCAATTGGTTAAGGAAGACAAGCTTTGTTTAAAACTTTGAGGTCAGTAGAAATATGTTAATTGGTTAGGGGGAGTGACTTTCTCCAAGTCCCTGCAGGAAGAAACTTAGAACAAAGGATGACAGTTAAAGTTTAGTCTTCCCTTCCCCTTTATCTGTGGTCTACGTGTCAGTGGTTCCAGCCATTTGGTGAAGGGTCATCTGTGGGAATCTGAGCATGTGGGAAAGATAATTCGGGAAGCTATGTTAAGATGTTACCTTTAGTTTCTATAAGGAAAATGGACATCTCTGGGAGTTTAACTTCCTTAGCTATTGTTTTAGGCTACTATTACCTTCTTATTTAACAAGTTACTTATTTAGTTCTCAGGGCTAGCTAGGTGCCTGGAATTCCCCTTGAAGGAACTCAGGATTTTTCTTTATTTCCGTACTTGGGGTCTGCAGGCACCTAAAAAAGGGAAATTCCTGCTCTATCTCAGTTAAAGATTCTCAGAGACAAAGACGGTGGGAGAATTGAGTTTCTGTACCACCTGAAGTAATAAAGGAAGCAAAGCTCAAAATAACCTGGGCTAGAACAGCAATTCATTTTCAGTAAGTGGCAGTTTAGTTTCAGAAAAACCACATTATCTCTCATATTAAATAAATAATGCTAATTTGAATTTTATTACTTTTAGTGTTTAGTTTCTAATTTGTTTAGTCTTGTTTATAAACTTGTTTTGTCATTGATACTAAAACATAATTTTCCTCTCATTTTGACTCTGAAATTGGGATGCATCTTAAAATCTACAGCCTCTTACAATTTCAACTGACAGCACTTTTTCCCTTTTTAATGCTACATAAAATAATAATGCATCTTACAATTGATGGTGTTTCAGATTCAATGAAGCACAGTATGTGCAAAATGAGTTAATACCTAGTTTTGTTCGTAAATAAGTAAGTAACACTAACAATTCAAATGTTGAAGTCAATATGGGTCTACAGAATGTTTTCCCTTAAAACGCTTTACATACTACTGCAGTTGGAGTATCGCTGATGACAATGAGGCAATGAGATGAAGTTTTCATCACCGGAGAGAGATGATCAAATTACCACATGGGGAAGATACTCTAGCACCACATTGGCAAGAAAAAGACAAGTTTTGCAGTAGAGCAAGTGAAGACCTAAACTCAGGAAATATAAGGAAAGATGAGGACATAACTTGAAGATCTATGCAGGAGCCAGACTCAACAGGATTTAGTGATTGATTAGATGTGTGAAAGCAAGGATGTGTGGAGAGGAGAAAGAAGGAGAAGGAGGATCCAGGGATGATCCTGGGTTTCTGGATGGAAGGGAGTAGCATCTCCAAGGTACAGAAAGGTAGTGAAGGTTGAGATATGATTATAACCATAACGATGGTGATAGTGATACTGGTATTGAAGGCTGTGATGGGTGGTGATAATAGTGTTGGTGACTATGGGTGGTCATGGTGGTGATGATAGTGATGGTGTTAGTGGTTATAGAGGTGATGATAATGATGGTGGTGATGTGTGATGATGGTGGTAATAAAAATGGTGGTGATGTTGGGTGGTGATGGTAATGATGATGGAGTGGTAATGAAAATAGTGGTGATGGTGGTGGTGATGGTAGTGGGTAGTGATGATAGTAATGATAATGGAGGTGATGAGGGTGGTAACAAAACTGGTGGTGATAGTGGTGGTGATGGCAGTGAGTGGTGATGATAGTGATGGTGGTAATAAAAATGGTGGTGGGTGGTGATGATGGTGATTAGTGGTGGAGATGACAGCAATGGTGATGGTGGAGGTGATAGCAGTAGCGATGATAATGTGGTGGAAATAAAACTGGCTTGCATTTTGACAAACACAGTGGTGATGGTGCTGGTGGTGGTGCTGGTAGTGATAAGGGTGATAATGATTGGTAGTAGTGGGAGTGGTCATGATGTTTAAGACAGCAGAATAATCATCATGATGTTTTAACCAGGAGGCCTAGAAGTAAAAGTAGCCATACTGGGGATTGGTCGCTTCACCTGCCCCACCTTGACACCAAGCACCTACTGGAGAAATCCAACCTTCTTCAGGCCTCATCCAAGAAATGACTATCATGGCTTTTTCTTCCTATCGCGACTGTAGGTATCAATCTCACTCCCTAATCACTCAATGGAAAATAAATTGTAAGTGAATGCTGAAACCAATGAATTCCCCCCATAGCAGAGAATATCCATTATTTACCCATAAAAATATTTCAATGATTATTAGCATGTAAACTGTGATTAATTAAATTTGCAAAAATTGTTTCTGATACATGCAAATGAAGTGGTTCCTGCTAAGTGAGACTAAGGCGTTGCTCTCTCTCCTGCTGCTTGAGGAGACAGTTGCAGGGAAGTTACTCAACTCATCTTCTGCTCCAGAGGCTTTGGAAAAGGTAGAACTACAGAGTCCATCTCAAATGTGGTTCTGCTCTGAGCTTTTCCAGATTCATCCCTCTAAATCAGGTCTACCCAATTAAGAGGATAAGTCTGGAGGA